ACTCATTTGGTATTATAAAGTGGTCAAAAACGGATATAGAGGGTCTTCAGCGGAAAGTAAGAACACTTCTCACAAAGGCGCAAAAACATCATCCACGTAGTGCAGTAGAGAGAACAACATTACCGCGGTATCAAGGGGGAAGAGGACTTATGGATATAGGTGAGCAATTAGATAAACAAATTGCTAATTTAAGATCTTATTTTCAGGTACAGGCTGAGACATCTACTTTACATCGAGCAATTTGCGCAGTAGATGATACGACGCCGCTTAAACTGAGGGAACAAGAAATGCGCATAAACCACCTGACTCAGCAAGAAAAAATGCGCACCTGGATGAGTAAACCTCTGCATGGGCGACATCTCAATGAGATCAACCAAGAATATGTCGACAATACAGCGTCGAACTATTGGTTGACATCAGGAAAGATGTTTCCCGAGACTGAGGGTTTCCTACTTGCCATTCAGGATCAGGTTATTCCAACTAAAAATTACCTGAAATATATTGTTAAAGATCCTCAAGTCCAAAATGACAAATGCCGATATGGATGCCAAGCCCAAGAAACCATCCACAACATCTTACCGGTGGCTGCCAGGCATTTGTCGGTACTGATTATAAAGAACGCCATGACTCAGTAGGAAAGATTATCCACCAAGAACTAGCTGACAAACTGGGACTTCTCCAAACCGACCATCTTCCTTATTATCAATACGCCCCTGATAGAATGCTTGAAAATGACAACTACAAGCTATACTGGGACCGCACTGTGCTTACAGACCAACCAGTGGCCCATAATAGACCGGATCTCATACTAGTTAATAAACTTACTAGACAAACAACACTTATTGATGTGGCGATACCCAACACCAATAATTTAGGTGTTAAATACAACGAAAAGATCGCCAAGTACAGAAATCTAGAAATACAAATCAGGAGACAATGGAGAATGGAAAGTACCCAGACAGTACCTATTGTTCTATCTACTACTGGTGTTATTCCCAAAAACCTCCTAGCAAACATAAAACAGCTGGGTCTAAATGAACATCTTTATAAGGCCATGCAGAAAGCTGTACTCCTCGCGACGTCCAGATGTGTACGAAAATTTTTGGGAGATACTCCAACATACCAAGTCACCTAGGGCTCGATAACACGGAAAGAGTCCCACCAGAGCTCAATCCTTTTGATACCGTAGGTATCTGGGATGAGTGAATTTTCCCCTTAGAGGGAGTGTGAGCCGTATGGCTAAATATGGGATAATAATAATAATAATACTCATAGAACCTCAACAGAAAGGATGTGCTAAGGGCTCCATGGGTTGCAAAGAACATTTTATTATCGACTCAGTCATTTCTAACCAGGCATACACCAAAAAAAGGAACCTGTTCACTGCCTTTATTGACTATAAGAAAGCCTCTGACCTATTCAAAGACCAGTCATAACCTGACTTAAGACATATAATCACAGATTGGAAAACTAAAATTCACCTCCTAGTACCTGGTGAAAACAATATCGAAACAAGGTTCATTACTCGCCATTCAGGATCAGGTTATGCCAACCAAAAAGTACCTGAAATATATCGTCAAAGACCCTCAGGTCCAAAACGACAAATGCCGATATGGATGTCAAGACCAAGAAACTATCCATCTTACCGGAGGCTGCCAGGCATTTGCTTCAACTGAATATAAGAAACGGCATGACTCAGTAGGGAAGATCCTCTATCAAGAGATAGCTTTTAAACTGGGACTTCTACAAACAAACCATCTCCCATATTATCAATACGTTCCTGAGAGTATGCTTGAGAATGACAACTACAAGCTATACTGGGATCGCACTGTGCTCACAGATCAAACTATAGCACATAATAGACCAGATCTCGTGCTAGATAATAAACTAACAGGACAAACAACTAATCGATGTGGCGATACCTAACAACAATAATCTGCGTGTTACAAATAAGAAGACAGTAGAGAATGGAAACTACCTAGACGATACCTATTATTCTTTCTATCACTGGAGTCATTCCGAAAACCTCCTAGAAAACATAAAAAAGCTGGGTCTAGATGCGTACGAAAATTTTTAGGAGATACACCGACGTACCAAGTCACCTAGGACTCGATAACATGGAAAGAGTCCCACCAGAGCTCAATCCTTTTGATACCCTAGGTATTTGGGATGAGTGAGTTTTCCCCTTAGAGGGAGTATGAGCCGTATGGCTAAAACTGGATACTCATGTTACTCGTGTTATTCCCAAAAATCACCTAGCGAACATAAAACAGCTGGGTCTAAATGAACATCTTTATAAGGCCATACATAAAGCTGTACTCCTCGCGACGTCCAGATGTGTACGAAAATTTTTGGGAGATACACCAGCATATCAAGTCACCTAGGGCTCAATAACACAGAAAGAGTCCTACCAGAGCTCAATCCTTTTGATACCGTAGGTATCTGGGATGAGTGAATTTTCCTCTTAGAAGGAGTGTACGCCATATGGCTAAATCTGGATAATACTCAAAAGCAAACTTAATTCCAAGCACATAGTAAAAGCAATAAACACATACGCAATAATACCTTTCACATGGTCCTCATTTGGCGTTATAAAATTGTCGAATACGGAAACTGAAGAACTAAATAGACTAAATAGAACCGTAATAACTAAATACGCATCAACCACTCCAAATCATACATCCAACGTATGACCACCACACACACAAGGCGGGAGAAGAACGGGGTGTTTTGGAAATATCACCCACTACTTAAAAATGAAAAAAACAGCAAAAAAAACAAAGACAAAAATATCATCATCATCATCATCATCACTGGCTCGACAACCCTTTTTGGGTCTTGGCCTGTACAAGGATTCTTCTCCATTCTGACCTGTTTCGTGCTTTTTTTTTCAGTTTTTAATTTTTAATGTTGTTATATCATTTTCTATTTGTTCTACGTATCTCAGCTTCGGTCTTCCTCTTGTTCTTTTTCCTACTGGCACTTGTTTGAATATTTTGTTTGGTATTTCGCCTTCTTCCATTCTTTCCACATGTCCAATCCAACGTAGCCTTCCTATTTTAATGAATGTTATGATATCCGGATCCTGGTATATGTTGTATAGTTCAAAGTTATACCTTCTCCGCCAAATCCCGTTTTCTTTTGTGCCCATATATGTGTCGCAAGATTTTTCTTTCAAAGGTGGCTAATAACGTTTCCTCCCTTTTAGAGAGTGTCCAGGTTTCTGAACCGTATGTGAGTACCGGTCTTATTAAGGTTTTGTATATTTGGCATTTTGTTTTTCTGGAGACATTATCTGATCTTAGTTGCCTAATTAAGCCATGGTAACATTTATTGGCAATAAATATTCTCCTCTTCACTTCCTCTGCAACGTTGTTATCTGACGTAACTAGGGATCCTAAGTATGTAAAGTTTTTTACCGCCTCAATGTTGTATTCTCCTATTGTTAAATTTGGCAGCTGCCTTATTTGTGCTTTTTATTTGCAGGCATATATTTTGTTTTTGTCTGATTGATTTTAAGACCACTATTTTTTGCAGCTCGTTCTATTTGAGTGAATGCCTCTATCATTTCTCTTCTTGATCTTGCGATTATGTCAACCTATTTACCTTTGATCGTGGATTCAAAATATTTTCCAATTGGCTTCCTAATTGGGATAGGTAATATGACCTGAATAAAATACATAGAATTTCAACTGAACTATATGTGAGATGTCCTTTATTTTAATGAAATTTTATATAACAATCAATCCTGTAATATTTGCAATATACTAACTTTAAATATATGAGAAGTTGTTTTCTATCATGGACCCAAATGTTATTTTACATTGATTTTTAATATGTGTTATAACTAAGCTCTTTTTATAATTTTTTTTTAAATGATCGCAAAATTAACTGTCTCTATTATTTATTCAATTTATTTAATTAATAAATAAAAACCACACTCCTGCTCTAACGAAAATTGACTGACCTTTCTTTCTCTGCCGTTGCAATTCTATGGCCACGCCAAAAAAAAAACCTTTCTCTGCTTCTGCTCCTATTGTGGTCCAGATGACGTACACCTTTCTCCTATCTGTCCTTGTATCTGCAACCCAACAACTCGTGTTATTCTATGCAGCCTCCTTTTGAGCCAATCTCCGCGCCTGTTTATAACTCCAAATGTTTCCGGCTTCGTCTGATATTAATATTCTTATACCCTTTGGTTTTTCTATCTCTCTGTACCCCGTTCCTCACACTGGTCAGCTTTTACACAGCAAATAAACACACCCGGTAAATTACGTCTTCGGGACTTCAAACAAACACAAATCACAAAGCTCCTTCCTTCTTGGACGACGAAAACTGACTAACTAACTTTTTTCCTCTCTCCTATCTCATAGCCAAAACCACCACCTCCTTGCATTCAAAAATTGACCAATAAAAATCATCCACCTCTGTGACGTATATCGTTACCAACCAACTCTCTCTATAAAACGTCATTCGGGTAATTCCAGAAAACAACATTCTTTAATTATTCTAACTAAATCTATCTGCTTTACAAATATTTCTTACTAATAGCTACAAACGATACCTGTTTCTCAATTCAATGTCTTTTGTTAATAAACTTTTACCGATATAATCTTTCGGGGAGAAAAACCACCGCAAATCCCGGTCTATTGTTTAAACACTTTCTATATACACTTTTATTCCGGGTAAATCCATTCCACAATAACCGACTTATTTAAATTTCTTATCGATAATATTTGAAAGTCTTGTCTCTGAGGCCTAATGAACAATTCTTCGAACAACTTAAAATACATATTTTGTCTTATACAGGATGTTTGAAAATTTATATGCCCGTGTCTTTATGAAATATCAATAATTTTAATTTTTATTTAAGTAATAAAATTTGTATATCGGTTTTTTATTGCTTATGGACATTCAAAAGTACAACAATATATATATATATATATATATATATATATATATATATATATATATATATATATACAAATAATAGCCAAATTTTAGTAATAAACGATTTATTCACAACATACGTTATACAATATTATCTACAATGTGTAAAACATAAAATCAGAATCTACTATGCATATAATAATCAATAGCTGTTGAAAATGCTGCAAAGCCCATTGCTCCCACTACTCCGGCTTTTACACCAGCTAAAACAAACATAAATGTTATCTGAAGTCTTAATTTAAAATAAATTATGCGTAAATAAAAAATAAATAAAAAGTTTCGTTTTACATACAAAATTTTCAGAAATGTTTTTAATAATTATTTCGCGAATTTTTATTTCTAAAAGCTGCAATTATTTTTACTAATTGGTATTAATATTTTCCTCATTCTTCTATTTTAGTGATAACTCATACTATTATTAAGCTTGTGCCGTATATCATGTTATTTCTTTAATTTTTACCAGGATCGCGCTGTAAGGGTAGGTGAATTACTTTTGGAAGTAAGGCATTATTGGAGTTTGGGAGCAGGTTCAGGTACTTGACAATAGTAACTAATTAATGGAGAATTAAGACATCTCTTCACTTAAGTCATAGTTATTATAATTTCCTGATTAAATGTAAAAGTGGATTTTTGCAATCACATTATTCCTTACACAGTACAAGTGTGATTATTTTAAACATCATTACACTTCAAATTATAAAACAGATAAAAAATTATCCAATATTTGTACGCAATCATACAATCCTAAACCACGTGAGTATTAAAAAATATTTATATACTACCTAATATCAATCTACTTTTGATTTAAAACTTTCTGTTATACAAGAACAATCGCGGCTGGTGAGGGAGTGCTAAGGGGTGCCACGCTCCCTAGAACAATTAAGTACAAACAATTAATTAAACTTAGAAAAATTAAGGCAAATACGAGCACAAATTTAATAATCAAATCTTGTCCAAGTACTTTCGCTTTTTACAGCATCATCAGGGGCATCTGAAATAAGCCAAAAAACGTTTTTTTTTAATGAAGAAAGTTAATTAACTTCGATAAAAAACTCGAAGTTAATGGATGATAAAAGTTTTTTGTGATTATCGTTTTAGACTTACTTCGTCAAATTTGGACTATCCAGCAAGCGCAGAATGTAATAAACATGAGATTGGACATAAATTGTACATAACACTACATTAACACAATGACAAATAGTTTAAAATTATTAAAAATGATTCTACGCTCTACATTCTTGTCGGCAACAGGAGAGAGAATGGTATTTAACGGAAATGCGGAAAAGGTGACATGTGACATATGACAGCTTAGATGGGCTGTCACAATCATGGATATGTGATATGAACATATTAAAATTCTATATAAGTAAGTTGGCATTGACCAAAGGTCCAACTGACACTACTATAGAAAATCAGTTTATGAAATATGACATATAGAATATTTTGATTTAACTAGATTGCATAATCCAGATCTCACACTCACACCCGTCTGTAATAATAAGGTTGTAAGTTTGAGAGCAAATGAAGTGGATATAAAGTGTGAATGAAAGAAATAGACTAAACAATCTATTGGACAGTGGGTGGTTGACTACAATAAAATGGTCTACCAGGCACTATCAATACTGTAAAAGAGAGAAGAAATCTGACTATGAAATTGAAATCCTAAAAATTAAAACAAAATTGAAAGCAGTGTATAAATGGGGTATCATTCAAGTAGTTCAGTTAAACCCCCAGCCAATAGGAGAACTGTTAAAGACCAACTGACCAACAGTGGCAGATGTTGAAATATACAACTGTGGAATTGGTATATCTAAATTACGCAGAGGTATGAAGAGTGTAATTTCCGCAAACTATAGATCCATTGAACCTGAGCAAGCTATTTTTGTAAATTGTTGAAGAATACAATAGTAATGTTGATCAAATTATGAAATTAATAAATTCTTAATGGATATACTCAGTGCAGGAAGTCTAATGTAATATTTTTTATTAGTCCTAATTTATTGTCTTTATTCTAATTTATTGTCTTTATTCTAATTTACTGTCTTTATTCTAATTTATTAAAACTCACGATAATTTATCAAAAGTCTTTATTTTATACTAATTTATTTTACACTTAATATTTCATTTTCGTTCGAACAATTTTAAACCGATATCGCGAGCTTCTTGTTGACTGACTTCAATAAAATTTCGTCTTTATATAAAGCACCGTAATAATCTAGACCTGACCTGATCCTTGTCGAAAATACCGGAATGTGAGGTCCTACTGGTATTATAGCCGATGGATGTTGACCTGCATTGTCTCGAATGAACTGGAACTGGTTTTTTTTATAGCGGCTCGGCTGATTTTCGTCAGGTAGGTATTACCTAGAACATTCATGAATGAATAAAAACATATTAGTAAAATATATTTACGGTTTTGGGTCAGAATTTATTGTAACATTGCCCCCCTCTTAAAAGATGGTTCCTCCTGGAACCTTGTCGGGACTGGAACTGGAACGGCATGCTGGTATCGGCAACTGGACCCTCTTTTACAACTTCCAGTTGTATAAAAATGACAAGGGACGGTTTTCTCTCCGCACCAGTAACTATGCGGATTGCAACAGACTAACACCTGGACTTCGGTGTCTTTAAAGATCTCCTCCACCATATTTCGTATAACCCTCCAATCTAATTGGCGGCACTCCAACTTTGGCATGGCTAACTTTTGTACGTCTGACTCTAGTACGTGCTCTCTCAACTGAAGTAAGGCTTCCCATACATCTCGGTAGGTAGGTTGGTCACGGGCAGTGTCTTTTGTTACCAGGTAGAAAAGGTAACGTGATGCATCTTGGAGTTTCAAGGTTTTACCGGGAGCTGGCACTTGGCATTGAAGTTCTGCAACTCGACCGAACTTCCTTCGAAAGACGGATGCCAACCCTGGTGCGTCTTTGATACTGGCCGGGATGGTAAGGGCCAGTGAGTAGTCATCGGGAAGCGCGAGTAGATCTTGCCTTTCTTCAGTGGTAACACCATGTCTTGCTTTACCGGTACCTCCATAGGCACCCATGAATTCCTCAAACGTGAGGTCAGACACATCTTGGACTTGGTTTACTTCCACTTCTTCATCTACGTCGTGGTCACCTTCGAAAGACGCCAGCCGGTTATGGTGTACTATCATCGGTTTTCCCCTCGGAATCTTGCTTATTCGGTAAATGACATCATTGATCTTTTCCATAATGAGGTATGGACCTTCCCAAAACTGCTGCAACTTGGGAGAACAACCTTTTCGCTTTTTGGGATTATAAAGCCAGACTTTGTCGTTCTTCTTAAAACACCCCTTTTCGGCTTGCGTATCGTACCGTTTCTTCATTCGGTCACTAGCGATCTGGAGATGGGAACGGACCAACTCGTGTACATCGTCCATTCTTCTTCGTAATTCCATCACATAATCTTCACCTGGTGCATCTTCTTCAGGTCGACACCCAAACTCTAGATCACAAGGTAGTCGCATCTCGCGTCTGAATAGGACTCTGGCTGGTGTCTGGCCTGTCGATTCGTTAACAGCAGATCTGTAGGCCATTGTGAAGAACGGAAGATATTGGTCCCAGTCTCGCTGATGATCGGACACCATCTTTGTCAAATACTTGCCAACTGTCCTATTCATTCGTTCTACCATACCATCCGATTGCGGATGATAAGCCGTAGTTCTTGTTTTCTTCATACCTATTCTATCACATATCCCTTGGAATAGATCGCTTTCGATCGGCCCGGTGCTCAATCTTGAAATCGTATTCTTGGATTCTTTCGATCCACCTGGCTATCTGACCCTCTGGATTCTTAAACTGCATCAACCACTTAAGGGCGGCATGGTCGATTCGGATTAAAAACTTCCTTCCATAGAGGTATTGATAAAAGTGCTCTACTGATTTTACTACTGCCAGAAGTTCTCTTCTCGTGACGCAATAATTCCGCTCAGGTTTTGAGAGAACTTTACTAAAATATCCAAGGACTCTTTCCTGTCCTCCTTGAATCTGAGACAGCACTCCTCCAATTCCCACATTACTTGCATCTGTATCTAAGATGAACTCTCCTTCTGGCAGTGGATACCCTAAAATTGGTGCCGTGATTAATTGCTTTTTTAAGGTCTCAAAGGAATTTTGGCAGTCTACATCCCAGCGATATTCTCTCGCTTCCTCTGTAAGTCGCGTTAATGGTTTAGCGATATCTGCAAACTTCTTAATAAACCTCCGGTAATAAGTACATAGTCCAAGAAAACTTCTCACTTGATGTTTGTCAGTTGATTTTGGCCATTCCTTAATAGAATCGATTTTTCCTTTATCCACGGCGACCTTCTTTACTGACTATATGACCCAGATAATTGACTTTACCTTGAAATAACTGGCACTTCTTGGGGTTTAACATCAATTGGGCAGCTTTAAGTCGATTAAAAACGTTTTCTAAATTCCTCAAATCATCTTCAAATGTCTCCCCCAAGATGATTATATCATCTAAATAAACTAGGCATGTTTTCCAAGATAACTCTCTCAACACATTTGCCATAAGCCTCTCAAATGTCGCAGGAGCATTACAGAGTCCAAATGGCATAACGTTGAATTGCCATAATCCCGATCCTGTGGTGAAGGCTGTCTTTTCTTTATCTACCGGGTCCATTTCTACCTGCCAGTATCCAGACTTCAAATCCAAAGTAGAAAATAATTTACTTCCAGCCAATGTGTCCAATGTGTCATCGATCCGAGGCAGAGGATAACTATCTTTCTTGGTAACGTTGTTCAGCAAACGGTAATCCACACAGAACCTCGTTGTTCCGTCTTTCTTCTTAACCAGGACCACCGGAGAGACCCATGGGCTCGTAGAAGGTTCTATCACCCCGTCTTTCTTCATTTCCTGAACAATCGTTTCAGCTTCCTCTCTTTTCGCCTGTGGTAATCGTCGAGCTGTTTGACGAATTGGCTTAGCATTACCAGTATCAATTTTATGCTTAACAACGGTAGTTCTTCCCGTCTTTCCTCCTTTCGGTACGAAAATATCACGATACTGCCGAAGAAATTCCCTTAATTTCCTTTTCTCATTTGGTTCAGAGACTGTCCAGCAACTGCAACCATTTGGTCAAATTTGTCGTTGGAATTATCAGACGTTGTCGTCTGACGGATTATGGATGTCACAGGTACACAAGTTCCTACTTTTGTCTCTTTCTTGATGGTGA